TTTATTATATTAGCTCGGCCTATCCATGAGCAACTGATGTTTTTCCAATTATTTAGATCTGACTTTATTTCCGTGAGAAGTGTTTTGTAATTGTGTTCATAGAGTTCCTGGGTTTATTTCAGGAGGTAGACTCCTAAATATTTTATAATGTCTACAGTAAGTTTAATTAGAATTTCTCTTTCTATCTCTTGCTGTTGGGCTTTGTTGGTAATATATAGAAATGCCGATGATTTATGTGAGTTTATTTTATAGCCTGCAAATTTGCTAAAGTTGTTTATTATTTCAAGTAGTTGTTTACTTGATTCTTCAGGATTCTCTAAGTATAACATCATGTCATCTGCAAGGAGTGATAGCTTTGTTTCTTCGTTGCTTATTCTAATACCTTCAATTTCTTTTTCTTCTCTTTTTGCTAAAGTTAATGTTTCCAGTATGATATTGAATAACAGTGGTGATAATGGACATCCTTGTTTCACCCCCGATCTTATTGGAAATGCTTCTAGCTTGTCCCCATTACATATCACGCTTGCTGAAGATTTTAGATAGATGCTATTTATCATTTTAAGGAAGACTCCATTTATACCTATGTTCTCTAGAGTTTTTAACAGGAATGGGTGTTGTATTTTGTCAAAAGCTTTTTCTGCATCTATTGAGATGATCATGTGCTTTCTGTTAGTTTTGGTGTTGATATGATGAATTATGCTGATAGTTTTCCTAATATTGAACCAGCCCAGCATTCCTGGTATAAATGTTACCTGGTCATACTGTATTATTCTTGTGATAAGTTGCTATAATCTATTTGCTAATATTTTATTTAAAATTTTTGCATCTATATTCATTAGAGAAATTGGTCTATAATTTTCTTTCTCTGTTTTGACTCTTCTTGGTTTAGGTCTCAGCACCATATTTGTACCATAAAAAGTATTAGGTAAGACTCCTTCTTCACCTATTTTCCCAAATAGTCTATATAATATTGGAATTAATTGTTCTTTAAATATTTGATGGTATTTGCATGTAAATCCATCAGGCCCTGGAGATTTTTTCTTGGGGAATCCATCAACGGCTTCTTCAATTTCTTTTTCTGAGATGGGGTTATTTAAGTATTTTATTTCCTCTTCTGTTAATCTGGGCAATTTATATTTTTGTAAATTTGTGTCCATTTCACTAAGATTGTCAAATTTGTTGGCATATAGTTGGGCAAGATAATTCCTAATTGTTGTTTTAATTTCCTTTTCCTTGGTGGTAGCTTCACCCTTTTCATTCTTGATACTAGTAATTTGGTTTTCTTCTTTCTTTTTTTAAATTAAATTAACCAAAAGTTTATCTACTTTGTTTTTTTCCACAAAATCAGCTCTCAGTTTCATTTATTAGTTCAACAGTTTTCTTAATTTCAATTGCATTAATTCTTCCATTGGTTTTCAATATTTCTAACTTGTTGTTTAATTGAAGATTTTTCATTTATTCTTTTTCTAGTTTTTATAGTTGTATGCCCAATTCATTGATCTCCTCTTTTTCTATTTTATTTATGTAAGCATTTAGAGATATAACACTTCCCCTAAGAACTGCTTTTGCTGCATCCCATAAGTTTTCAGTATGTTGTCTCATTATTGTTATTCTCTTGAATGAAATTATTGATTACTTCCATGATTTGTTGTTTGACCCAATCATTTTTTAGGATTAGATTATTTAGTTTCCAATTATTTTTTAGTCTATCTTTTCATGGCCCTGTATTACATATAATTTTTATTGAATCATGACCTGAAAAGGATGCATTTAATATTTCTGCTTTTCTGCATTGGATTATGAGGTTTTTATGCCCTAGTACATGGTCAATTTTTGTGTATGTGCCATGTACCACTGAGAAAAAAATATATTCCTTTCTATCCCCATTCAATTTTCTCCAGAGATCTATCATACCTAACTTTTCTAATGTTCTATTCACCTCCTTAACTTCTTTCTATTTTATTTTATGGTTAGATTTGTCTAGTTCAGAGAGTGGGAGGGTGAGATCCCCCACTAGCATAGTTTTGCTGTCTATTTCTTCCTGTAATTCCCTGAACTGCTCCTCTAAGAATTTGGATGCTATACCATTTGGGGCATATATGTTTAGTAATGATATTACTTCATTGCCTATGGTGCCTTTTAGCAGGATGTAGTTTCCTTCCTTATCTCTTTTGATAAGATCTATTTTTGGTTTTGCTTTGTCTGAGATCAGGATTGCTACCCCTGCTTTTTTTTTTTACTTCAGCTGAAGCATAATATATTCTGATCCAGCCTTTTACCTTTACCCTGTATGTGTCACTCTTTTTCAAATGTGTTTCCTGTAAACAACATATTGTAGGATTATGGTTTTTAATGCATTCTACTGTCCGCTTCCATTTTATGGGAGAGTTCACCCCATTCACATTCACAGTTATGATTACTATCTGTGTCTTTTTCTCCATCATTTTTTCCTCCTGTTTATGCTTATTTTCTCCTTTCTCCTTTCCCCCTCTCACTAGTGTTTTGCTTTTGTCCACCTCCTCCTTCAGTCCCACCGACCCTCTATTAACCCTTTCCCTTTTCTTCCCCTTTACCCTTACTGCTTCTTCCCTGTCTTCTATCCCCCTCCCTTTTCTTTCCTCTTTTCCCTCCTACTGCTTATAGGGCAAGTTAGATTTCTATACCTAACTGATTATGTTATTACCTTCTTGAGTCAAATCTGATGAGAGTAAGGTTCAAACAATGCTCATCCCCCTCCTTTCTTTACCTCTGCTCTAACAGGTTTTTGTGTCTTTTCCTGTCATGTAATTTACCCTTGTCTGCCTCCTCCTTTCTCAGCACATTTTCTTAGATCAGGCTAATCCACTTACTTGTATCCATTTAACCCATTTGATTAGATTTTTTTTATCATTACATCAAAGTCAACTTACATCCACCTCCTTTATGTATACTCCTTTAACCGGGTGTAACAACAATACAGTTCTCAAGAATTCTAAGTGTCATCTTCCCTTGTAGGGATATAAACAGTTTGCCCTTATTAACAACATATTGTATCTTTCTGTCCCATTTACCTTTTTATGTCTTTCTTGAATCTTGTACTTGAAGATCAAATTTTTTGTTGAGCTCTGGTCTTTCTATCAGGAAGGTTTGGAAGTCCCCTATTTCATTGAATATCCATCTCCTTCCCTGAAAAATCATGCTCATTTTCACTGGGTAGTTGATCTTTGGCTGCAACCCAAGCTCCTTTGCCTTACAGAATATCATGTTCCACCCCTATGGTCTTTTAATGTAGAAGCTGCAAGGTCCTGTGTAATCCTGACTGGGGTTCCATGATATTTAAAGTGTTTCTTTCTGGCTGCTTGCAGTATTTTCTCTTTAATCTGGTAATTTTGGAATTTAGCTATTACATTTCTTGGCGTTTTCAATTTGGAATCACTTTCAGGTGGGAAGCGGTGTATTCATCCTACAGTTATTTTATCTTCTGGTTCTAGGACTTCAGGGCAGCTTTCCTTTATGATTTCCTGAAAGATACTGTCCAGACTCTTTTTTTCATCATGATTTTCAGGTAGGCCAATAATTTTTAAATTGTCTCTCCTGGATTGATTTTCCAGGTCAGTTGTTTTATCCATGAGGTATTTTATGTTTTCATCTTTTTTTTCATTTTTTTTTGTTTCTGTTTGACTGGTCCTTGCTCTCTCATAGTCATTAGTTTCCATTTGTCCAATCCTAGTTTTTAACAGATTGTTTTCTTCTGTTAGATTTTGTACTTTCTTTTCCAATTGGCCAATTGTATTTTTAAGGGATTTGTTTTCTTCAGTACACTTTTTTTCCAGTTGGTCAATTGTGTTTTTTAGGGACTTGTTTTCTTCAGTGTACTTTTTTCCCAATTGGCCAATTGCATTTTTAAGGACTCCTCTACCTCTCTCATTTGACTTTTAAAATCCTTCTTGAGCTCCTCTAAGAAGGCTTTTTGGGCTTCAGACCAGTTCATATTCCCTTTTGATGTTGCAGATGTGGGTTTGTTGACAATGTTGTCCTCTTCAGAATTTCTGTCTTGACCTTCACTCTTCTCATAATATGTATCTATGGTATGTTTCTTTTTACTCATGGTGTTTCCTTATTCCCTGGCCTTTAAAGAGATTGAGCTCTGACCCAAGCCTCTAGTGTTGGGAACCTAGGTCTTGGTCACTGGCTTTGTGTGCTGGGGCCTCTTATGTTGGCAATAGGAGGCTGTAGGGTTCTGGCAGCTTACCTGGTGTTGGGCTGGAATCAGCAAGGCTGGGACTTTCAGGCAAATCTAGGTTGCCTGCTTTTCCTTTCCTTTAGCTTTCTTTAGCTCCTTCTAGATGGGTGCTGCAGGGTGTTTATCTGCCTAGGGCCCCTTGCAGTACTGCCTCCCTTAGTTCTACTGAGGGACACTCCTTTGCTGTAGAATGCTGAGGCATCTGGTGGTTTTCTGAGCTGGTTTCCACCAGTTCCCCTGCCCTCACTGAGGCACTTGGAGGTCCAGCTGTTGGTGTTTGTCTTCTCGACCACCTGGGCTTCAGGATCTCCTCCTGGTTGGCAGTTGGAGGCTGTAGGGCTCTCACAGCTTACCTGGTGTTGGGCTGGAATCAGCAAGGCTGGAACTTTTGGGCAACTCTAGATTGTTTTCTTTAGCTCCTTTCAGATGAATGCTGCAGCATGCTTATCTGTCTGGGGTCCTTTGTAGTACTGCTTCCCTTATTTTTGCTGAGGCACTGGAAGACCCATTTGCTGTAGAATGTCAAGGCACCAGAATCTCCTCCTGGTGTGCTAAAGTGGGTCTTTCCACTGGCTGGCTGGTCAACTCCCATTCCATGCTGCTCCCCTTCCCCCAGGGTAAGAGGGGCCTTTCCCATTAATCCCTCTAGCTACCTGGGCTACTGTACTGCTGTTCCCCATCTTTCTTCTGGTTCAGCTCTTCCAGGGTTTTTTCTGGGGTGATATTTTCTGGGTTTTCAGAAGTTGATAGGGGAGGGTGAGAGCATCTACCTTTTTACTCCATCATCTCGGTTCCCGGAAGTGGAAGTCCCGGTAAATCAGGAATTCTTGTTGGAGTTAGCACTTGAACTAAGCCATGAATGGAGCTGGGAAATCCAAGAAACAGAGGTAAATACAGGCTCCCCTCTGTTCCATGCATGGGAAATAGCCTGTGTAATGGCTCGGGAGGGAGAGATGAAACATCACTAGAAGTAGATGAGTTTCCTTGGGAGTGATTGAATTAGCAGTGGCAGTGGCAGCGGCTGCTTCTGGATCTCTCAGCCAACAGATGGTAAGGGGGGGTCAAAGAACTGGTCAGAAGGAGATTACAGGGTTCTTTTTACCAGCACTGGGGCAAGACTCTGTTGCTTTGCCCACATTTGGATCTGGGTTGCAGTCCTGGGTGGCAGTCCCATGGTAAGGAGGAATACTAGCAGCAGAGCTTGTGGTCACACTGGAGCAGGGACCCTCCTCACAATTCCAGGGCAGAAAAGAGTGCTTCTGGTTGCTCAGAGACCAGAGCACAGGCCAGGAGAGTAGTAAACACCTCTCCTTTGATCATACCACCTTGGAAGAACTAAAAACATACAGGTCCCTAGAAGTATCTCTGAAAACAGCTGTGCAAAACTCCTGAAGCTTGAGACAGTGCTCCCTTCACCCTGGAAGCAGAACCCTGCCTTAACAGAGTTAAAAAGTCAACTAATAGGCTGGAAAATTGAGCAAGCAACAGAAAACAAACTCTGACTATAGAAAATTGCTATGATGATAAGGAAAATCAAAACACACACTCTGAAGAAGACAACAACATCAAATCTCCTACATCCAAAGCTTCCAAGAAAAATATAAATTGTTCTTAGGCCACAGAATAGCTCAAAAAGGATTTTAAAAGTCAAGTAAAGGAAGTGGAGGAAAAATTAGGAAGAAAATGAAAATGATGCAAGAAAATCATGAAAAATGAGTCAATAACTTGCTAAAGGAGACACAAAAATATTGAAGAAAATAACTTTAAAAAATAGACTAGGCCAAATGGTAAAAATGGTCCAAAAAGCCATTAAGGAGAAGAATACCTTCTTCTTTTTAAAATTTTAGTTCATTTATTTTTATTTATCTACAATCACTTCCATAAGCTTTTGAGTTTTAAATTTTTCTCTCCCTCCCTCTCTACCTCCCTCCCCAAGATGGCACACAATCTGATATAGGCTATACATATACATTCCTATTAAACATATTTTCACATTAGTGATGTATGTAAGAATTAGAACCAATAGGAGAAACCACCAGAAAGAGGAAACAAAACTCAACAGAAGAAAAAAAATAGCAAATAATATGCTTCGATCTGCATTCAAACTCCATAGTTCTTTCTTTGGATGTGGATAGCATTTTCCATCATGAGGTCTTTGGAGATGTCTTAGATCCTTATATTACTGAGGAGGGTTAAGTCTATCAATATTAGTCATTGCATAATGTGGCTGTTACTGTGTGCAACATTGTCCTGGTTCTGCTCACTTCACTCAGCATCAGACCATGAAAGTCTTTCCAGATTTTTCTGAAGTCTGCCTGTTCATCATTTCTTATAACACAATAATATTTCATTACATTCATATACCACAACTTCTTCAGTCATTCCCCAATTGATGGGCATCCTCTCAATTTCTAATTCTTTGCCAACACAAAAAGAACTGCTACACATATTTTTTGTACATTTGGGTCCTTTTCCTATTTGTATGATCTTTTTGGGATATAGCCCTAGAAGTGCTATTGCTGGGTCAAAGGGTGTGCACATTTTTGTAGCCCTTTGGGCATAGTTCCAAATTGCTCTCCAAAATGGTTGGATCATTTGACAACTCCACCAACAATGCATTAGTGTTCCAATTTTCCCACATCTTTACCAACATTTATCCTTCTCCTGTTTTGTCATGTTGGCCAATCTGGTAGGTAGAATGCCTTCTTTTTGAAGAATGAGAAGAATGAGCAGAATTGGCCAAATGGAAAAGGAGGTCCAAAACTTCACTGAAGAAAATGATTCCTTAAAATTTAGAATGGAGTAAATGGAAGCCAATGATTTTATGAGAAATCAAGAAACAATCAAACAAAACCAAAAGAATGAAAAAATAGAGGATAATGTGAAATATCTCATGGTCAGTCCCACATTTGAGGGTGATGAAGACAAAGATGATCATGAAAGCAACTGGATTTTCCACAGATGTACACATTCAGTGTCTCATTGTCAAATGGAGCTGAACTTAGTTTTTCAGAGACTATGTCATCAGAGCTCCAGTTCTTCCAGGTCCAACTAAAAAAAAAACTTCACCTATGGTAACAAGCAAAGCACAAAGAGGCTCATGATGAGAACATTGGCCAACATGTGATTTTTTTTCACCACAGCAACTTGTAGTGGTCATCTGCTAAGGAATGGAGGAACTGGGATCTAGACTCCCAAAAATTAAATGCCATATCAATTTTCTCCATTTTCTTCTTCCTTTCCTGTACAATATTTCACAGTTTACAAAGCACTTTTTTATGCAATATTTGATTTAATGAACAGAACACAAACCATGTCAGATAAGCAGTGCTGGTCTTCCAATTCCCATTTCAAAAATGGAGAAATTGAGGGATAAATATATTAAGAGACTTGTCCAAAGGCATACAGCTCTTAAGTTGTAGGCAGAGGCATAAAATTCTGGCCTTGTCACTCCATTTCCAGCACTTTCTTAAGCTAGATAAATGTCTTGTGGAAGCAGGAGATGTTAAAGCAGATGTCATTTTGGTGGAAACTCCCTGAATAAAGGCCATGAAGAATAAGATTGAGGTCATTTAAAGTCAAGAGCAGAGTGGGCCAGTAAAGTAGGAACCTTGAGGTTCATCAATCAACATTTCTTAAGTCTCTACTATGTACCAGGCACTCTGTTAAGCAGTGAGAATACAAAAAGAGGCAAAAGACAGTCCTTGACCTCAAGGAGCTCACAGTCTAGACAACATGCTAACAAATACATAAAAATTAGGATTAATAGGAAATCATTAACAGAGGGGAAGGACTAGAATTAAGAGATTTTGAGAAAGGCTTCCAGGAAAAATGGGATTTTTAAAAAGTTGGGACTTAAATGAAACAAAAGAAGCCAGTAGGTGGAGTTGAGTAGAGAGAGCATTCCAGACAAGGGGGACAAGCCTGAGAAAAATGCCCAAAGCCAAAAAATTGAGTGTCTTGTTCATGGAACAGTGAAGACGCTAGCGTACATGTAGCCAAGAGTACTTGGTATGCAGTAAGGTATTAGAAGACTAGAAAGGGAGAAAGGAGCTAACTCAGGGTTGGGGAGCCTGGGGCCTTGAGGCTGCACATGTCTTTCTAGGTCCTTGGGTGAAGCCTTTTGACTGAGTCCAAGTTTTATAGAACAAACCCTTTAATTAATTTTATTATTAATTTATTAGCCACTAGGTTATGAAGGGATTTGAATGTCAAACAGCAACTTTTGTATTTGACCCTAGAGTTGACAGGGAGACACTGGGTTCACTGAACTGTGTGGAGTAGGGGCAGGGAGAGAGAGGTAATAGTGTCATATTTGTACTTTAGGAAAATCACTTTAGTGACTAAATTGAGGATGGATTTGAGTGGGGGAAGAAGTGAGAAATCAAACATTTCTGCCTCCTAATACTTTCTTCAGAAGTACTATTGCCTTATTCCAAGGACTAGGAACCAGCCCCATCACTGAGAGGAGGCTATTTTGCTAATGAGCCTCCTAAGGGTTTCTTTTGTGTCCTTATTCCTTAGTGTATAGATGAAAGGGCTCAACATGTGGGTGACTACAGCATACAGTGCTGAGGCAACAGTGCTCTTCCAGGAAGAGCGGGTAGCACAGGAACTCAAATATACTCCAAAATCTGTGCCATAGAATAAGGAAACAACAGAGAGGTGAGATTCACAGGTGGAAAATGCTTTATACTTACCCCGAGCAGGTGGGACTTTCAAAATGGAAGAACAGATCTGACTATAAGAGAAAAGGATCCCTGTGAGGGGAAGAATACCCAATAGTGCAGCAACAAAATATATCAAGACATAATTGATGAGAGTTTCAGAACAAGATAGTTTTAGAACCTCAGCAAGATCACAAAAGAAGTGATAAATTTCATGGTCTGTACAGAGGGAGATCTGTGTTACCATCAGACAGTGAAGGACGGAGTCTAGAAGGCTTATTATCCAGGAGAGCAGAACCAGTAGGCTACAGATACCAGGACTCATGATGGCTGCATAGCATAAAGGGTGACAGCCACAAAATGATCATAAGCCATTGCAGCGAGGAGGAAAATGTCTAAAACTACAAAAACCAAAAAGAAGTACATCTGGATAAGACAGTCAGCATAGGAGATGGCCTTGTTTTGTGTCAAGATGCTCACTAGCATCTTGGGGACTGTGGTGGTTACCACACAGATATCCACAAAGGACAAATTGGAAAGAAAGAAGTACATGGGAGTGTGAGGGTGAGAGTCAGAGCCAATGACCAATATTATGAGCAGGTTTCCATCCATGGTGACCAAGTACATGCCCAAGAACAGCCCAAAGAGGGGACCCTGCTACTCTGGCTTCTCAGAAAATCCCAGGAGGATGAATTCAGTGAATTGTGTTTGATTTCCTGGTACCATAGGGCTGATTTTTCTGCTGGGAAAGATAAGTGAGAAGAGCAGGACATGAAAATACAGTTATCTTTGTATATGAAATGGAAAGAACCCTAGGCTGTGACTGAGAATTTCTAAATTCTGTTCCTGTCTGCCACTTATTATCTTTGTGATCTTGGACAAGTCCATATTTCCACATTCAATCTCCCTCCATGCAAGGCAAAGAACTTGGATCTAATGACCTCTAAGATTCCTTCCAGTTCAGACCATCTTTGGAACATGAACAATCAAATTTAGCAACGAACCTTTTATGACCACCATCTGAAATTGCTCTCAGCGTCAGCGACCTTTGAGCACTGAAATGAAGGAGACACTACAGGCATGGTAGGTCCACTCTTACAGCCAACAACAGAGAGAGACGACAGTGATCTGATAAGACTGAAGCATTTGGGACATCCAATCCTCAACTGAAATTGTAAAATCACAGAGAAATGGAAGGAACCTTTTAGGATACACAGTACAAAAGTTTAATTTGCAAAAAATCCTGGCACAAAAATATCCCTGGCAATTGGGCATCTGGCCTTTCCTTGAAGACCTCTATGGATAGGAAATCTCTCAGCTTCCTGAGGGAGATTATTCCACTCTGGGTTTCTTTTCACTTCCCTTTCTACTGAGACAAAATATGTCTTTCTGTCTCATCTCTTTCCCACATAATAACCCTTTAAATACATGAAGTCAGTAAGTATTATGTATATGTTTTCTCTCCTTTAAGCGAAGACACTCTAATTCCTTCAGATGATCTTCAAAGGCCCTTCACCGTCCTAGTTACCAACCCTTCCATCCTCTCTAGATCATCATTGTCATTTCTAAGTTGTGGTACCCAGACCAAACACCGAATTTCAGTTGAATTCTGACTATGTTCAAGGAAAATGGGATTATCACCTACTTCTTAATGGAAGCTATGATTCTTTTAATGCAGGCTAAGTTTTCTTTAGATCATTCCATCTGCAATATCAATGCTGGCTCATAGTGAGTTTATTGTATACTAGAAACTTTCAGATCATTTTTAAATGAATTGCAGTCTTGTATGATGGAGGAGTATAGAGGTTTGTGTGCTTTCCCTTGTCTTGTATGTTATAGCTACAAGTAGTCATTAGTGGATAGGATCATCCTTTGAGTATTTGGTGAGCCAGTGTTGCTAAGGCTAGGGCTCCCCCAAGGTAGCCGAAAGCTGTATATATGAAAGGTCACCTCTCTGAGACTCTGCTCCATCAGCCTCAAATGGGTTCTGGGAGTTCCAGGTAATAACACCTTCCAGCTCTGACATGTCTTCTATAACCCCTCAAAATGCTGACATTCTATATTCTAAAGTCCATATCAGCTGACCCCATGTTTTACATTCCTTTCCAAGATGTATGTGGTTTTGAAAAAGAAAAAAATGTGGCCCAGGCTAACAGTATTGTGTCAAAATGGGACTATTCAGTCTAGGAAAGTATTTCAAGAGAGAATGGAGTCAAGTCTTCACCTAAGATTTTGGGGTGAAATTAACAATCTCAAACAAGGACAGATCACCTGGTGTGTTTATTATATTAACCAAAAAAGTCAAGAACAGTCTGAATCAAAGAGACAGAATTTCTAGAAAAGGAATCTCTCTGAAAATTCTAGAATCACCGAATCTCAGATTTGGAAGGTACCCCAAAACTCATCTAGTCCAACCTTAACCTACATGAGAATTCTCCTCCCATGAACCAGGGCAAATTTGGTGTGCCTTTGAAAGGCACATACCGAGCTCTTTCTGCATGGTTAGACAGGCACCAGATATTTATTAAACATTTACATCTGATTTCATTTGTATAAAACCTTTTAAAAATAATTTTGTTCATAGAGTTCTTGGGTTTGTATTGGCAGGTGTACTCCAATGTATTTTATACTGTCTAGAGGTAATTTCAATGGGGTATCTCTTATGATCTCTTCTTGCAGGGTTTTGTTTTTGATATATAGGAATACCGGTGATTTATGGGGATTTACTTGGTATGCTGATACTTCACTAAAATCTCTTTGTGGTGGCAAAAAATTGTAAATTGTGAGGATGCCCATCAGCTGGGGAAATGGCCGAACAAGTTGTCGTATATGATTGTGATAGAATACTACTGAGCTGTAAGAAATTGTCAGCTTGATGATTTTAGAAGAACATGGAAAGACTTGCAGGACATACTAAAATGAGCAGAACCAAGACAATGTTGTATGCAGTAACAACAATATTGTTTTGAGAGCCAAAAAACAGCCCAAAAACTTTTACTATATGACAGACACTGTGCTAAGTGCTAGGGATAAAAATTCAAGAAACAAGTGGCGTGAGACAGGGAGGGGGAAGGTAGTAGTACAAGGGCATAGTAACAGAGTTGGGAGACTTGGAAGCACAGACAGGAGGAGAATGAAGAGTGACAAATCTGAGCTCTTCCCCACAATAGGGAATTCTTTGAAGGAACTCAACAATAGGAAAAGGAGGGTGGCATGGGAGAATGATATCTGAGGGTGAGAATGCCCTGGGCACTGAATCATGACTTTGAAATTCACAGAATCAGAAACACAATAGGCATGGTGATGAAAGGTCATTTTACAGATGAGAAGTCATTATCCAGATGTTTCTTGAAGACCTCCCATGAGAAGAAACCCACCATCTCCTGATAGAGCTCATTCCACATTTGGAAAGCTCGAAATGTAAGAAGTTTGTTTTCTGCTTTGTTTGTTTTCTGAGATCAAGTCCAAATTTGTCTCTTTTTGCCAAGTCCTCTCTAGGCTAAGGAAAATAGGTCTAATTCCTCTTTCTAGCCTTTCCAATACCTAAAGATAGCTACCATTCCAAAATCAGTGGGAGCAGAGCACATATCTATTGTAGGAAGATAACCTGAAACTCCAAAGAGAGAATACTTGGAGAGATCAAGAAAAGCAGTTTATCCCTCACTTTTGTGGTGGTCTTGGTGGTAGTAGCAAGACTAGACCCTGCAGGAGTTGATGGCCAGTAAGACAAAAGACTGACCCAGAAGGGTTGTCATGTCCAGGTGAAAGGAAGTCTGTGCTGATTCATATTTAGTTTATCCCCTACTAAGACCCTCAAGTCTTTTTCACATATGTAAGATACGCTGTGGGGTTACTCAACTAAGCCATACTCAGACCAGCAAATTGAGTCCCTAGAGGACAACAATCATCTCCCTTCAAGGTTCTAGGGGTATCCATGAGGTGCTTGGGAAGAGTTCTTCAATATGTATGAACTTATAAACTTAAACATTTATAAACTTCCTCTAATGAGCTTCCTATATTGATTTTTGAATTGATATCAATGTTAGATAATTGATTTCTAAAAAGAAGCCTTTACTAAGGTTGAATAGTACAAACAGTTTGTATAAAATAACCCACTCCTCCAAAGGAAAAAGAAAGGGCAGTGATATACTCTCCCACAAGTACAGAGATTGTGCAGGGGAGAGTGGAATTAAATTTAGAGAGTACTTGTTACAAAGGGGTAGCACAGTTGGTTAAAGTCCTTTCCCTCATGGTGCTTTGCTCTCCATCCTGGAATCCTCATGAAATTCCTCCTAGGCATGGTGCAATGTCTGCCTATGCTTCTTATAAATTCCCAATGCTGTAATTATTAGAAAGTTTTTCCCTCCATCAAGTCTAAATGTTATTTTTTTTTGCAATTTCCATGAATTATCAGTAGTCTTTCTCTCTGACAGCCCTTCTAATACTTGAAAGCCGTTGTCTCTCCCTCCTCCATCATGATATTCATATCCAATCTTACCTGTTCTTTAAAACCCTTCTAGCCTTTGTTTGGGTTCCTCTCTCTCTGTCTTTCTCCCAACCCCAGCCTTCCCCACATCCTTGCAGGCAGATGAATTCAGTAACCAATTGACAACTGATCAGAGTCTAGTTCACAATATGGTTGCATTGTATACTACCAAACCACCTGGTACCAAATACTTCCTGGATCTTACTCATAGTAGAACTCAAGGAGTTCTGGTTAATTTTGATTAAGTTGATTTTTGTGTTTGTGTTATAAGTATCCTCAGTAAAAGTCTGAGCATGCAGAGGAATGGGCATAGGAATAGAAGGTGGAAAGAAGGAAAGGTAGGAAAGGGAACAAAGTAAATATAATACAATCGGGATTTCAGATTATCTGGTCTAACCCCTATGAAAAACAGAAAAAGAGAAGGAAAAAAAACCAAGTAGACATGGTAGATAAAAGATGACAAAATCAATAAAAATTATATTAAGATGTAGGTAGAGAATAGTAGGAAGTGATGTGTGCCAAAGAGACAGCTGCTTCTGATGAATTTAAGACAATCTGAGGAACGTGCCCAGATATTGCAGTGATGGCTCATACATCACATAATGGCTATAAAAGGATAACCAGCCACCAGGTACATTAATGTACTGTACTCCAAATAGTATGGAGTCTATGTCAGTGTCCTCATCATATATTTCTTCCTGACACTCTCCCTAGGCAGTCCAGCCCCTCCTCTGAAAATTCCCTATGTTACTGACTACCTTAAGATCATGGGAAATGTTTTCAGGATACTCATCAGCTGCTATGAGTGTAGGCAGTCTTTCCATCACCTCCCTTGCCTTCACCTACTCTCCCTGACCCTATGAACTTACCTTGAGTGATAAACTCAGTCTCCAGTGCCATTCAGAGGTCTGTAGATTTAGGGAATATAGGAGTTATCTATGGTTTGTAAGAAAATGACCTTATTATATAGCTCAGTACTCCATGTCTATGAGTAATGTCATAACCCCTCTCTCTTGATTAGGCTTCCCATTGGTGTATCTGAGACTTACTTCTGGCTAAAGATTGTTCTTGGTGTTTGGATTATACTTGACTGTGATGGGTTAGATCACAATCAATTCACAAGTCTTCTATTATGACAAAAATAAAAATTTATCTTTCTGAAATGATTTACAGTGACCAAAAAAAAATCACACAAAAATGATCTCACTTGGTTCTCAAAAAAGCACTGTGAAGTCAATAT